AAACATTGGTTTTGTTACTTATTGCAAGTGTAATATATCAAAGTTGGGGTTTTAATACGATTGTTGTGGTTTCTCTACTCTATGATTGATAAGTAAACTTGTCCCTTCTCATGTTTTCAGGTCTTTTCTATCTCATGAACTTTAACATTTTGACCTGAATCTTGTTTCTTGTTTGGTCTACTTTACTTATTGCATCGATTAATACCTTCCATTTGATATATCTCAAAGTCTACACAGAGAAATGGAATTGGTCCAAATCGTGCAGTTGTTTTGGTACATTCCTCCTTAATGCTAGATACAATCAAAATCAGGGATTGGTTTTCTACAGCCTTTTCTACTCATGCTAGAAGTTAGTTTGGATTCTGAGTTGCTCTTGGATCTCTCACTCAATCATGAGAAGTTGGATGCTATGTTGTCGAGTAACCTAGTTAGCAAGCGAGCTGCCGCAGATTCCCTAGCTTCCTCAGCATCAGACTTTACCTCTCCACAGAATGTATACGCGAAAAGAGTCTCCTTTATTATTACTTCAGCTTCAAATCCACCTTTTTGAACATAAAAAAACAACAACATCAACATGAAAATTTCTGAGTTTTTAAGGAACTGAACAACGGATTTGACATAATGATCTCAAAACTTTACCATCTGATGGAGACACTCGATAGTTTGGTAGCACCCAGTTATTCCCGAGACAGATCTCATCGAGTTTCTGCAATAAATAGTGGCAATGAATCTTTTTCCTTGAGCATGAAACGATCAAAATTTATCATAAACTTACCTGACACAAACTTTTAGAAGGAAGAGGTTCACCGAGCTTCATCCTCTTGTTGCTTTGGCATGCTGACTTGTCAGGAGATTCTTCTAGGATACGCCTCGGGTATGCATCGTTACAACACTCAAGTATTGTTTCAAGTTGCAGCTCCAAATTACCTCCTGTAACAACCACAAGAATCACTTAAGTTCATGTAAAAACAAAGCTGTGGCTGAGAGGGGAAGTATATACATACCTTTGATGTTCTTGATGCTATTATCACATTTAGCAAGCTCGTCTTCTATGTACCGCTGCTGAAGAGTCTGCAGCCAAAGAAAGAGAGAGCAGCTCTTAGTCATTAAATAAAAATGTTGCCAATCCGTTTTTAATGTATCTTTGATCAAGTTCTACAGTTATTACCAGTTTATCTCGTTTGCAATGAAGAACCTTCAATGCTGTTTCGGAGAGTGATGTTGCTCTGGAAAGAAGAGTGGTCTGTAGCTCCTCCAGGTTTAGATTAGAGTTATGAGCAGAAGCAGGAGCTGCTTTACGCTTAAGATAGCTATTAAGTTTGTCATCAACAGCTTTCTTCTTCTGAATACCTCTTTCTCTGTGATCATTTGAATCAAACCCAACCTGCATTTACAAAATGGTGATAATGAATGCTTAAAGATAGAATTGAGAAAAATATAATTTGTTATTGTAGATTTCAGACTTTACCTCAAAACCACTTTTCTCTCCATTCGAATAGCTTCCCTTACAAGGGCTCATTTCATTATCTGCATTCTTAGCTTTCAACGCAAATACCGTCTCCAACTGGACATTGGTTTCCTTTGTAGCATTTATCCTTCCTCTCAGGTTACGATATTGGATCCTCGGAGGAACTTTTTTTCTAGCTTTAGGAATGCTGAGTGGAGCGGCATCTTTTTTGGCCTGCAATTTAGATCCATAAGTCAAGTTACTTCTGTACAACCATTTTCCTTAACAATCATTACTCCTTTACGAAGCAGAGCATTTTCTCCCCTTACAAGAATGTCGAGAATTTCTAACTCCTTGGTTGCATCTGCCTTTCCATTACTTTCGATATCATCACATATAGCTTCTACTTCTTTCTCTATCTCAAATTCAGTATCTTCTCGCCTGAAAAACATAATCAATTTCCATTGCTGCTCCTTCAGGGAAAAGGTGCCAAATAACTCGTAACCGATGCATAAGGATGCAAATAATGAACCTGGAAAACCAATCTGCTATAAGATTGGCATATGGAAGAACATGAAAGTAATCCACTCTGGAATTCGTAGCCCATTCAGAGAAGCTCTTCTCAAATAAAGGACCCTGCATGCTATTTATGTAGACAAGAGCAACAGAGGCTGGTTAGAAATATCAATGCCTCTTTGTACTTACAAAATGAAAATACTATTATCCAATCATGCAACTACTGTGAAGTAAAGCAGAAAGACCATCTTGCCAAATTTATGAGTCAAATCTTTAAATATGAATCAATTTGTTTAAGTGAATGTCAGTTCCTTAGGCCTATCCTTACAATCTCAAAATCCACTTACCAATTAAGTGCTTCTTCGATGGAAATTTCTCCAGGAAAAACATCTTGTGAAATGCTTTTCATTATGTAAAAGCGAGACGTTGTCTTATCTTCACTCAAGGAATATACCAAATGCCTCTCCAAGATCACAATGTCTTTGTGATTAACACCTGAAAAAGACTCAAATTTGTTATCTAAACTAACTTCCAGCAAGAATGCTACTACAGAACCCATATGATTAGTCTTTCTTACTAACCAGTAGCTTCCTTAATAGCTGCAAATGCAACTTTTTGAAACATGACCTCTTCACTCTTATCTCCACCAACAGTTTTCTCCTTTTCAAGTAGTGACCACACACCTTGAGTGATTGAACTGTGTTGAAGATAACAAGTATTCTTCTTTGAGTCAACTAAGAGAACTGCAACTTTCTTTATGGGCCATTTCTTCAAGATAGAAAGATCTGAAGACGCATCTAAGCTCATGGATAAACTGCATGCATCCACAATAACCTTCTCAAGTAACGAAGTTTGTTCCGAATCACCACAGTCTCCACTAGATTCCTTCAAATGCTGCATCAGAGCAGGTCTCATAACAGTAGTCAAGCTACGGAATGACTCAAAAGACAAATACTCCAGATGAGTATGCTCTTTTCTGTGGTAGTAATTGTACAGCAACACAACTGCATGAACCTGAATCAACAGCAAAACAGAAATTAAGGTGTTGCTGTCTAAATTGGAGCAAATCAGAATACTAATTAGAGATTTTTGAAGTCCACCAAGAGAAGAAATCACCTGTTTAGCAACAGATTCTCGAAGATCCTTCGAAGGAACATCACTTGGAGAAGGCTTCAATGGAAGCAAAGGGTCTACTAAGTTTTCTAACAACGCTCTAATGGCGTCCTCCGTCGGACAAACATCTGAGGATTCCGATGTCGTCTTCGTGACCGGTAAACAGCAATCTACCTCCTCCATAATCTCAATCACCAAGACGAAAGATTCGCTGCAACCAAAGATTTAACAAATCAAGAATTTTGCAGAGTAAATCTCAAAAGAGCTCATTTTTTCAAAAGGGCAAAACAGATTCAGAGAAAGATAAGCATTGGAGTTAAAATTCGTCGAACCCATAAGAGGGAAGAAGGAAAATTGCAGAGGAAGAAGACGATAACAAAGGAAGGAGCGAAGAATCGATCAAAAGAGAAGATAAAGTTTAGATTTTTATTTTCCGGTGGAGAAAGTGTCGAACTTTACCGGGAAAGGAAAGCCCTAGAGTGTGTCTTGAAATTTCTCCGATTACCGTTTTGGGTAATGAGAAGAGAGAAGGAAAAAAATAAAAATGTGTCAGTGACAAGAGAAAAGAAGAAGAAGAGAATTAGAGATCATATAAACTTCGTGTGTTTGTATATTTTGTTTTTTAATAATAATGGAAAATTCGAAAAGGCGCCAATCCTTTTGTTATCCCCTGCGTTTTACTGTAATATTGACTACCATTTGAGGGTATTTTGGGGATTTGATCTTTCTTCATTTGGCTTCTTCCTCTAGTGATTGATACGACTTTGACTTTTGATTGAGTTTTGTCATACAAACTTAAAAAGTACTGTAGTATTGAATAAAGACGTTTGGATTTTTGTTTCAAATTCTCTGAAAATTGTTGATTTTTTTCTTTCTAACTTACAATTTTCATAGCTTTTTAAAGTTTTTCACCTTTAAGTTCTTTTGC